AACTTCAAAATGAAAATTTATCCATGGCATTCCACTGCTTAAAATTTTTCCTTGACTTGCTCCTGCCTTGGGATAAACTCCAGACCCCTAAGTGTGATCTACCTCTTACCCTCACTGTCAGTTGAGCTGTTCCCAACAAAGGTGATGTGCCACTTTGCATTTCACAAGTGTTCACTTTATCATCATTACCTTTCATCTCTCCTTCTCTCCTCCCTTCTGCCAGCTTATTACTCCTTTCATCCTTTCAGACCAACTCTAGCTTGGACTTCATGAAGCAATTCCTGGGCCTGGCTGTAAGTGTTCTTATTCCCTATATCTGAGTCTCCCTCCTGGGGTGCTGTCTTTGCATCCTGTGCTATAACCTTTACCATAATGTCATTCATTGTGTCTGTCCCCACTCCCAAACTATGTAAAGGGAAGGTCAGTTCTGCATCCCCAGGACCTAATGTGGTATTAGATGTCAGTGACAGGAGCTGAGTTGATATGAAATGAAGTGACCTGACTGACAGTGGTCAGGTGTTGCTCTTGACACACAGGAATGGAACACAGCCATTTAGCTAGCACAAGATAGGGACTACATTTGCGGTTTTTCAAGCCCTGTTTTTTTGTTTTTTTGAGAGATTCTCACTCTGTTGCCCAGGCTGGAGTGCAGTGGCGCAATCTCTGCTCACTACAATCTTCACTTCCCAGGTTCAAGCGATTCTTGTGCCTCAGTCTCCCAAGTAGCTGAGATTACAGGCGTGAGCCACCACACTTAGCTAATTTTTGTATTTTTAGTAGAGATTGGGTTTCACCACATTGGCCAGGCTGGTCTCGAACTCCTGGGCTCAAGCGAATCGCCTATCTCGGCCTCTCAAAGTTCTGGGATTACAGGTGTGAGCCACCATGCCAGGCCTCAACCCCTCTTCTTTATAATACATATTGCAAGTTAGATATTCTGATAGGAGCCTTCTTTACAACTTGCAAACCTGCTCCTTCTTCCCATAGGTATTTACGTGAGGAATTTCCAGAGTCCTGGTCAGTTCCCAGGTTGGCTGAAGGCTTTAATGTCAGCACTGATGTGATCCGAAGAGTTTTAAAAAGCAAGTTTGTACCCACATTGGAGCAGAAGCTGAAGCAGGATCAAAAAGTCCTTAAGAAAGCTGGGCTTGCCCACTCTCTCCAGCAGCTCCGGGGCGCTGGAAATACCTCAAAGCTGCTCCCTGCAGGCCACTCTGTATCAGGCTCTTTACTTATGCCAGGGCATGAAGCCTCATCCAAAGACGCGAATCACAGCACAGCTTTGAAAGTGATAGAGTCAGACACTCACAGGACAAATACACCAAGGAGATGGAAGGGAAGAAATAAAGAAATCCAGCACCTGGAGGAGAGCTTTGTGCCTGTTGCTGTACCCCTAGGTCATCCAAGAGAGCTACAGAAGTACTCCAGTGATTCTGAGAGCACCAGAAGAACTGGCAGTGGTGCATTGCCAAGTGATCAGAAGCTGGAGAAGTTGAAGGCAGAGGAGCCGGGTAACTTCAGCAGCAAAGTAGTGCAGAGGGGCCGAGAGTTCTTTGACAGCAACGGGAACTTCCTGTACAGAATTTGAGTCGGGGCTTGGCTTGTGGAGATGCCTCGTGAAACACAGCTGGGCAAGTAATATATATGGAACAGCCTGGATTTCTGCATATGGAGAAGCCACCTTGGAACAGGAAGAAGTGTTGAGCCTGGAGTGTGGGAGGAAAAAACTGCGTGGATAGATTCAGACTTTCTGTAGTAGTGCCCCCAGTCTGACCTCTGTAGATCTTCAGTACTCAGTCTTCTTGCTTGGACTCTCTGTATGTTGAAAACCAGCCATGTTGCATGTGTTGTTACAATTTTCTGTGATACTTGCAATTTATATTTGAGAGGAAGTGAAAAGTTTGCCTTCTGACCTCATTTCCTCCTTGATCAGTGAACACTAACATTTTTGGGACAACTTAGTCAATTGTTTTCCTTACAAGCAAAATAAAGTAAAATGTAGCAGTCTGCTCTTTTGGTGCTCTCTGGAGTGGGATGGTTTACCTGTGAACCTTGGTGAGTGAGGGAAGGACAAAGGCAGAAAGGAAGGATCCCTGGTCAGTAAACGTTGGGGGAGAGATGGAACCAGAGGAATTTCCCAGGAAAGGGCTCTGTGCAGAGCATCCTGCTTAGTGATAGATTCTGACAACCAAAAACTGGACGCCCTTCTCTTAGTTGCTGGGGTTCTGGCAAAGACTGGGAAATGAGGGGTTGGCAGAAAATACAAAGCAGGCAAAGGCTTTAGGGCCCTTATAATCTCCAACCACATTTTAAAGTTAATTATATTAAGAGTGGGGCATGGCGAAATGTGCCTACAGTTCCAGTGACTTGGGTGGCTGAGGTGGGAGGATCGCTTGAGCCTCGGAGGTTGAGGCTGCAGTGAGCTATGATTGCACCACTGCACTCCAGCCTGGGGTAACAGAGTGAGACCCCCATCTCTAAATAAAAGTCAATCTTCAGTTATGTCTCATTATACAGTTTCCTTAACCAGATTTCTACAATGGCGCCATGATTAGGCAATCTCAGATTAAAAGGTCCCTTTTACAAATAAGGAAATAGACTCTAAGATGGCTGCCAATAAGTGGCAGTGCTGGGACTTAACTCAGGTCTCATCATTAATCCAGGGCTTTTGGAATTCCAGGGATATGGCACTGTCTGCCATAATTTTGTTAATTTACTGATTGTTTTAGAAATACATCTGTTATAACCAGAAATTTGGGGACAGCTTAGTCAATTGGTTTTCCTTACAAGCAAAATAAAGTAAAATGTAGCAGTCTGCTCGTTGATGCTCTGGTGGGATGGTTTACCTGTGAACCTTGGAGAACCGTGTCCTGCTTTCACAATTTACCAGCAAAAATGGCTACTCAGAATTTAAATATGTGTAGGACATTAATGAAAACACCTACATTCCAACTCAGTCATTGCCATTCTAGAATCTTATTGCTATTTCAAATGTCCATTTACAGCAATTAAAATACTGATTACTGTTGCTTTTATCAGTTATTGATAACTTGATCATCTGTTCTCAGTATAAATGGCAAAGCCCTATCACATGCTAAGCAAAGTTCTACGATCCAGATACTGGTAATACAATAGTGGGCAGATAGGACCCTTGCTCTCATTCCCCTGTCACTATCATGTAGTTCATAGTAGAAGCTTATCAATATTTTTATGGTTTTGTTATAGTGTTTATTTTTTAATTGTTAAAGATGTGTTAGATGCTGTTTGATTGTTTAAATTTGCATTTGTAACTCCTGCATATCATCTGATCATGCCATACCCTTTTCCCAATGGGCTATAGAAACCTGAAGCCTGTTCTTAAAACTTTGTTTTTTAATTTATTTTTGAGACGGACTCTAGCTCTGTCACCCAGACTGGAGTGCAGTGGCAAAATCTCAGCTCACTGCAACCTCCACCTCCCAGGTTCAACTGATTCTCCTGCCTCAGCCTCCCAAGTAGCTGGGATTACAGGCATCTGCCACCATGCCCAGCTAATTTTTGTGTTTTTAGTAGAGATGGGGTTTCACCACGTTGGCCAGGCTGCTCTCAAACTCCTGACCTCAAGTGATCTGCCTGTCTCGGCCTCCTAAAGTGCTAGGATTACAGGTGTGAGCCACTACACCTGGCCTTTATTTCTTTTGAGACAGGGTCTCGCTCTTGTCCACACTGGAGTACAGTGGCTCAATCTCGGCTCACTGCAACCTCCGCCTCCCGGATTCAAGCAATTCTCCTGCCTCAGCCTCCCAAGTAGCTGGGACTACAGGCATGTGCCACCATGCCCAGCTAATTTTTTTTTTTTTTTTTTTTTTTGAGACGGAGTCTCGCTCTGTCGCCCAGGCTGGAGTGCAGTGGCGCAATCTCGGCTCACTGCAAGCTCCGCCTCCCGGGTTCATGCCATTCTCCTGCCTCAGCCTCCCGAGGAGCTGGGACTACAGGCGCCCGCCACTGTGCCCGGCTAATTTTTTCTATTTTTAGTAGAGACGGGGTTTCACCATGGTCTCGATCTCCTAACCTTCTGATCCGCCCGCCTCGGCCTCCCAAAGTGCTGGGATTACAGGCGTGAGCCACCGCGCCCGGCAACCCAGCTAATTTTTAAAAATATTTTTAGTAGACAGGGTTTCACCATGTTGGCCAAGCTGGTCTCAAACTCCTGACCTCAAGTGATCTGCCTGCCTTGGCCTCCCAAAGTACTGGGATTACAGGCATAAGCCACCACGCCTGACCTTTATTTTTATTTCTTTGGAGACAGGGTCTCGCTCTGTCATCCACACTGGAGTGCAGTGACTCAATTTCAGCTGACTGCAACCTCTGTCTCCTGGGTTCAAACTATTATCATTCCTTAGCCTCCTGAGTAGCTGGAACTACAGGTATGCACCACCACACCCAGCTAATTTTTTTTTTTTTTTTTTGTTGAGACAGTGTCTCGCTTTGTTGCCCAGGCTGGAGTGCAGTGGCGCAATCTCAGCTCACTGCAAGCTCTGCCCCCGGGGTTCACGCCATTCTCCTGCCTCAGCCTCCCATGTAGCTGGGACTACAGGTGCCCGCCACCATGCCCGGCTAATTTATTTATGGTTTTTTTTTGTAGTTTTAGTAGAGACAGGGTTTCACCGTATTAGCCAGGATGGTCTCTATCTTCTGACCTCGTGATCCGCCCGTCTTGGCCTCCCAAAGTGCTGGGATTACAGGCTTGAGCCACCGCGCCCAGCCTAATTTTTTATTTTTAGTAGAGTCAGGGTTTCACTATGTTGGCCAGGCTGGTCTCAAACTCCTGTGCTCAGGTGATCTGCCTGCTTCGGCCTCCCAAAATGCTGAGATTACAGCGTGAGCCACCACGTGAGACAGGCAGATCACCTGAGGTCAGGAGTTTGAGACAAGCCTGGCCAACATGGCAAAACCCTATCTCTACTAAAAATACAAAAATTATCTGGGTGTGGTGGCAGATGCCTGTAATCCTAGCTACTGGGAAGGCTGAGGCAGGAGAATTGCTTGAACCCGGGAGGCAGAGGTTGCAGTGAGCCGAGATTGTGCCACTGCACTTCACCCTGGGTGACAGTGAGACTCCATCTCAAACAAACACCTCCAATGCTCTTTCTCAAATACCATGGCTACCCTTCCTGCTTTACTTCATCTGTCACACAAGTAATATATACTCATTAAAGAAAAAGACAAGCAAAATGAAAACAAAAGTCATCCCTAATCCCACTGCTGAAGAGTTACTATCTTACCAACATTTTTCTAAGCATATGTACAACTTTAAAACAAGCACAAAAGAATAATATTGCGCTGGGCACGGTGGCTCACGCCTATAGTCCCAACACTTTGGGAGGCCGAGACGGGTGGATCACTTGAGGCCAAGATTTCGAGACCAGCCTGGCCAACATGGTGAAACCCTGTCTATATTAAAAATACAACAAGGAGCGACTCCCCGCCGCCGCCCGGGCCCGCGTGCTCCTCCGCCCGGCCCCACACCGCGGGTCGACGTGATCCGCTGCAGCCTGGCCTGCGAGCGCTGCCGCTGGATCCTGACCCTGCTCCTACTCAGCGCCATCGCCTTTGACATCATAGCCCTGGCCGGCCGCGGCAGGCGGCAGTCAAGCGACCACGTCCAGACGTCCTTGCTATGGTGGAGATGTTTCCATGAGGGCGGCAACGGCAGCGGGTCCTAAGAGGACGGCTGCTAGAGCCTCATGGAGTACGCGTTGGGTAGAGCAGCAGCTGCCATGCTCTTCTGGGGCTTCAGCATCCTGGTGATCTGTTTCATCCTCTCCGTCTTCATCCTGTGTGTACCCCAGATGCTTGTCTTCCTAAGAGTGATTGGAGGTCTCTTTGTCTTGGCTGCTGTGTTCCAGATCATCTCCCTGGTAATTTACCCCGTGAAGTACACCCAAACCTTCAACCTTCAGGCCAGCCCTTGCTGTCACTTACATCTATAACTGGCCCTACGGCTTTGGGTGGGCAGCCACGATTATCCTCATCAGCTGTGCTTTCTTCTGCTACTGCCTCCCCAACAATGAAGATGACCTCCTGGGCAATACCAAGCCTAGGGACTTCTACACATCCGCCTAACTTGGGAATGAGCGTGGGAGAAAATCGCCACTGCCAAGATGGATTCCAGAAAAAGAAACTGTTTGTCTAGGCTACTTTGAACCTATTTTTTGGCAGTGTTCATAGTCAAAAATGCTAAAATAATTTGGGAGAAAATATTTTTAAAGTAGTGTTATAGTTTTATGTTCACCTTTTATTATGTTTGGTGAAGTTGTGTATTTTCACTAATTACCTATATTATGCCAATATTTCCTTATATCTACCCATAACATTGATGCTACATTTGTAAGATAATATGAACATGAAACTTAACAGTTTATAAGGTAAAAATGAGATGGTTTCCAAGATTTAATAATCCGATCAAGTTCTTGTTATTTCCAAATAGAATGAACTGGGTCTGTTAAGGGCTAAGGGGAAGAGGAAGGTAATGGTAAAAATTGTCAATGACTGGCTGGGTGTGGTGACTCAAGCTTGTAATCTCAGCACTTTGGGAGGCTGAGACAGGCCGATCACCTGAGGTCACGAGTTCAAGACCAGCCTGGCAAACATGGTGAAACCCTGTCTCTAGTGAAAATACAAAAATTAGCTGGGCGTGGTGGCACATGCCTGTAATCCCAGCTACTGGGGAGGCTGAAGCAGGAGAATCGCCTGAACCAGAGAGGTAGAGGTTGCAGTGAACTGAGATCGTTGCATTGCACTCCAGCCTGGGCAACAGAGCAAACTCTGTCTCAAAACAAACAAAAATTGTCAATGACCAAACATTCTGAAAGAAATGCCAAAAAAAGCTTTTTTTTATCAAGACTTCAAACGATTTAAAGAAGCAAAATAGTTTCCTAAATGCATATTGTTTGTGAGAATTTCTCACTAATATCCTGAATAATTCCTTTTTTTTTTTTTGAGCCAGAGTCTTGCTCTGTCGCCCAGGCTGGAGTGCAGTGGCGTGATCTTGGTTCACTGCGAGCTCTGCCTCCCGGGTTCATGCCATTCTCCCGCCTCACCCTCCCGAGTAGCTGGGACTACAGGCACCCGCCACCATGCCTGGCTGATTTTTTATATTTTTAGTAGAGACAGGGTTTCACCGTGTTAGCCAGGATGGTCTCGATCTCCTGACCTCATGATTCGGCCACCTCGGCATCCCAAAATGCTGGGATTACAGGTGTGAGCCACTGAGCCCGGCCCTGAATAATTCATTTTTGCTAAGCTTCATGTTGACTCTATATATCATCTAAGAAAGTATTGTTTTGTGGTCCAAACCTGTTGCCATGGTTAGTAAGGCTTTCTTAGGTATGAAATATTTAGATGAAATTTTCTCTTTTAAAGTTCTGTATAGGGTTAGGGTGTTGGAAAATGCTATATTAATAAATCTGTAGCGTTTTGTGTTTATATGTTCAAAACCAGAGTAACTGGATTGAAAGATGGACTGATAGATCTAATCTATCAGTCTAATTTATCATGACTGATAGATCTGGTTAAGTTGTGTAGTAAAGGATTAGGAGAGCCATTCCTGTCACAAAAGTGCCTCTAAAACAGTCTAAGGAGAAAAATGGCTTGCTTTTCTAAACTTCAGATTTATCTGGGCTCTAATCATGTAGACAGGCTTCTGACAGATTGCAACTGTCAGTAGAAACCTACATATAGTTAAAATCCTGGTCTTTCTTGGTAATCAGATTTAAAATGTGTGATGTAAAACATACCACAGGAGAATTCAGGGACTTGAGTTTCCCTGAATAGCATATATATGATGCATCAGATGAGTTATTACTATTTTTTACCATTTCTACTTACATAATGAAAAACAATTCATTTTAAATATCAAAGTATTATTTTGTAAGTTGTGGAAAAGGGCAATTGAAGTTTTCATTATGAAGTTTTCCCAATAAACCAGGAATTCTAAACTTGAAAAGAAAAATAGAATTAGCCAGATGTGGCTGCACAGGCCTGTAATCCCAGCCACCCAGGAGGCTGAGGCAGGAGAATCACTTGAACCTGAGAGGCAGAGGTTACAATGAGCCGAGACCGCACCACTGCACTCCAGCCTGGGTGACAGAGACTCTCTCTCAAAAAAAAAAAAAATGAAAATAATATTGGGATTATACTGTATGCTCAGGTGTACATTATTTCTTACATGTATTGTGAATATATTTTGACAATAAATATCTTTACTTAAAATAATCACCTCATATTTTGTTTTATGGAATACAATATTAGTTTGTTGTATGAAGTCAAATATTAGATTGAACCATATATATGATCTTTTTTTTTTTTTTTGAGACGGAGTTTCGCTGTCTTGCCCAGGCTGAAGTGCAGTGGCGCGATCTTGGCTCACTGCAACCTCTGCCTCCCGGGTTCACACCACTTGCCTGCCTCAGCCTCCCGAGTAGGTGGGACTACAGGCGCCCGCCACCACACCCAGCTAATTTTTTGTATTTTTAGTAGAAAGGGGGTTTTACCATGTTAGCCAGGATGGTCTCGATCTCCTCACCTCGTGATCCGCCCGCCTCGACCTCCCAAAGTGCTGAGATTACAGTCGTGAGCCACCGTGCCCGGCCTATCTGACCGTTTTTTACCTATAAAAATAGCAGTTGCCTATAGTCCCAGTTACTTGGGAGGCTGAGGCAGGAGGATCCCTTGAGCACAGGCATTCAAGACTGCAGTGAGCTATATAATTATTCCTTTGTTGTGGGACATTTAGATCATTTCTAAATTTTCACCAGTGTTGTGATAAACCTCTTTTAACGAATCTTTTTGGTCTTGTTAATTGACATATAATTTTATCATTTCCTTAGAATTTCCAGAATTAGAATTGGTGGGTCAAAGAATAGATACCTTTTTTTTTTTTTTTGAGACAGAGACTTGCTCTGTCACCCAAGCTGGAGTGCAATGACATGATTGCAGTTCACTGCAACCTTTGCCTCCTGGGTTCAAGCAATTCTCCTGCCTCAGCTTCCCAAGTAGCTAAGATTACAGGCGCCTGCCACCACGCCCAGCTAACTTTTTGTATTTTTAGTAGAGATGGGGCTTCACCATATTGGCCAGGCTGGTCTCGGACTCCTCATCTCAAGTGATCCACCCGCCTTGGCCTCACAAAGTGCTGGGATGTCAGGCATGAGTCACTGCACCCTGCCAGGAGGTGACATTTGAACAGAGCCTTGAAGATGCTGTGTAGAAAGTCTGACAGGTGGCCAGGCGTAGTGTCTCATGCCTGTCATCCCAGCACTTTGGGAGGCCAAGGTGAGAGGATCGCTTGAGGCCAGAAGTTTGAGGCCAGCCTGGGCAGCACAGTGAGACCCTGTCCCTTAAAAAAAAAAAAAAAGAATTAGTAAACCCGGGAGGCGGAGCTTGCAGTGAGCTGAGATCCAACCACTGCACTCCAGCCTGTCACAGCGAGACTCTGTCTCAAAAAAAAAAAAGAAAAAAAGGGAAAAAATTAGGCCAGGTGTGGTGGCTCACGCCTATAATCCCAGCACTTTGGGACGCCAAGGCGGGCAGATCATGAAGTCAGGAGATTGAGACCATCCTAGCTAACACAGTGAAACCCCATCTCTACTAAAAATACAAAAAATTAGCTGGGCGTGGTGGCGGGTGCCTGTGGTCCCAGCTACTCAGGAGACTGAGGCAAGAGAATGGCATGAACCCGGGAGGTGGAGTTGGCAGTGAACAGAGATCGTGCCACTGCACTCCAGCCTGGGTGACAGAGCAAGACTCCATCTCAAAAAAAAGAAAAAAAGAAAAAATAGCCCAGCGTGGTGGCCCTTGCCTGTGGTCCCAGCTGCTCAGGAGGCTGAGGTAGGAGGATCACTTGAGGCCATGGAGTTGAGGCTACAATGAGCCATGACTGTGCCACTGCACTCCAGCCTGAGTGACAGAGCAAGACCCTGCCTCAAAAGAAAAAAAAAGTTTGATAGGGCATATGGAACAAGAGACAGGAACAAGAGGGAAGAGCATGAACAAAGGTATTGAAGAGTAGAGGGACACTGTGTTGGGAACTGAGTGGTGTGGACTGCACAGTGGTGGGAGGAAGGGCAGAGAGAGTTTCCAAAAATAGCTGGGACCAGACTGGGAAAGGCCTTGAATGCCTTCCCAAGGAGTTAGGAATTTATTCCATACCTGGTGCCCATGAAGGAAGCAGATTGCTTCAAGGTTAAGCTCAGGCTTTGGAGACAGACTCTCCGAGTTTGGATTCAGGCCCTGCCACTTATTAGCCATGGGGCTGGGCTCACCCAGCCTCAATTTCCTCATCTGTAAAATAGGAGTAATAATCACAGGATTGTTGTGGGGTTTCAATGAGAGAATGCGTGTAAAATGCTTAGTACAGTTACTGTCACTTATTTCTCAATAACTGCTGGCTTTGGTCATCAATAAAAGAGAGAAACAACATTATCAGACCTGTATTTAGAAGGCATTCTGGCAGATAGGGACAGATTTGGGCCAAAATCTCAAGCCAGTATTTTTCAAGGGTACACTAAACCTTGGTACATATCTAATTATAATACATTTTTTAAAAGCGTTAAATGAGTATAGTTGAAACTGCAGAAATTTTTTTTTCTTTCTTTCTTTTTTTTTTTTTTTTGAGACAGAATCTAACTCTATTGCCCAGGATGGAGTGCAATGGCACGGTCTTGGCTCACTGCAACCTCTGTCTCCCAAGTTCAAGCAATTATCCTGCCTCAGCCTCCCAAGTAGCTAGGACTATAGGCACGTGCCACCACACCTCGCTAATTTTTGTATTTTTAGTAGAGCTGGGGTTTCACCATGTTGGCCAGGCTGGTCTTGAACTCCTGGCCTTGTTATCCACCCGCCTTGGCCTCCCAAAGTGCTGGGATTACAGGCATGAGCCACCATGCCCGGCCAGTTCTTTTTTTAGGAAAGTCATTTTAGTACACATGGCTAGCCACACATGGCTTGACATGGTGGGCATGCTGGCATCCAGAGAAAGAGAGAGCCAAAGCTGTCCATCTTGCAGACCAATGGGAGGGAGCCAGGACACAGCTGGGCTTGCTCGTGCCCAGAGAGAGAATGAGTTAAGCTGCTTACACTGAAGGCAAGGGAGAGTCAGCTGTGCAGCTCTGTGTGGGGGCAGCTGGCTCAAGCAGGGCAAACAGTGTTAAGAGTAAGCTCCTAAGAAGAGAGCTAGTGTAAGAAAGCTGTTAATGAGAGCTGCTGCTGAATAAAACTATCTTTCACCTGCCTACAGCCCCCTGGAGTGTTCTTTCTGTTTACCCACCCACTCCCCTCAGACTTCAGCATGAGCAGGACCTGGACTCTGGGATCTGACACACATCTCTACTGAAAATACAAAAATTAGCCGGTATGGTGGTACATGCCTGTAATTCCAGCTACCAGGGTGGCTGAGGCACGATGATTGCCTGAACCCAGGAGTCAGAGGTTGCAGTGAGCTAAGACCACGTCACTGCACTCCACCCTGGGCAAGAGAACCTGACCCTGTGTCAAAACAAAACAAAGTTAAAGACCATTTGTCCAGTATAAACTCTTTCAAAATATATACTCAAGCATAGAAAAGTCTAGAAATATCATCAATGGTAATTTCAGGAAAGAATGTTAAGGTGATGCTTTTTCTGCATTTTTTTTCTTTTCTTTTCTTTTCTTTTTGAGATAGGCTCTTGCTCTGTCACCCAGGCTGGAGTGCAGTGATGCAATCAGGCCTCACTGCAGCCTCGACCTCCCAGGCTTAAGCCATCCTCCCACTTCAGTCTCTTAAGTAGCTGGGACTACAGGCACAAGCCACCATACCTGGCTAATTTTTGCATTCTTGTATTTTTTGCAAAGATGGGGTTTTGCCATGTTGCCCAAGCTGGTCTCAAGTGATCCGCCCACCTTGTCCTCCCAGAGTGCTGGGATTACAAGTGTGAGCCATGTGTGCCAGGCCTACATTTTCTTTTCTATAATAACCATGACCCTGGGTTTCATGTACCAACATTTTCTAACAATAATATTTACAAAGCATACTATGAAAAATGTTCAGAGAAAAGAATACACAACTGTAAAAATCATATATAGTTTTCTTTTTGTTTGTTTGTTTGTTTGTTTTTAGAGCCAAAAAAGAAACAAAGTAGATTGTCCAGGGAGATAGTTACTTCCACTTTGTATTTCTCTGGTGAACTCGTTAGGAACTCTAAAAAGTTCCAGGAGGGCCAGGCACGGTGGCTCACACCTATAATCCCAGCACTTTGGGAGGCTGAGGGGGCAGATCACGAGGTCAGGAGATTGAGACCATCCTGGCTAACACGGTGAAACCCCGTCTCTACTAAAGATACAAAAAATTAGCCAGGCATGGTGGCAGGTGCCTGTAATCTCAGCTACTCAGGAGGCTGAGGCAGGAGAATTGCTTGAACCTGGGAGATGGAGCTTGCAGTGAGCCAAGATCGTGCCACTGCATTCCAGCCTGGGCGACAGAGTGAGAATCCACCTCAAAAAAAAAAAAAAAAAAAAAAGTTTCAGGAGTAGAATCATTGGGTCAAATTACCCTGGCTTTAAGTTCTGGTTCAGAGAATTTTAACAACTTACATTGTCACCAGCAAGGTCTTTGACTATATGAGCAACTCTCACCTTAAAGTATTTCTCATCTGACATTAGCTGCCCGGCTTTCCACTGATACGTTGACTCCAGGAGGCTCCTTGAGTTCTGTGTGTTCGGCTGGCCTCTGGTGGCCCCATTACTATTTTCTGCCAGGTAAATGTCAGTTACCTTCACACAGATCTCATCACTCATGATATGCTGCAGCTTGAATCAAAGGCAAGCTGTTAGTGAAGACAGAAAACATTTCTCCACTACACAGTCAATGTTCCTTTAACTGATCCAGTCACTCCACTCAAAAAAGGTTTTGGGTATTTTTTGGCTGGCAATTTTAGAAAATTAATCACACAAAACACTGTATCATTTTCTCGGAGAATAATCAAGCCAAGATTTTCTACCATATCAGTGGTCCATTGTAAAACTTTCATATCTATTTAAAATAAAAATCATAGAGAACTCAGGTTAATGTGCTGTTTAAAATTCTAAGGCTCTTTAAATAATTTTCCATGGGTCATATTTTTATTGCATTTTAAATGTAATAATTTGCTTTTACAACAATTAAATTAAATGCAACAATTTGCTTTTACAAATATTCTCTCTCATTTGATCCTCACAACCACCCTGGGAAGCAGGTTGGAGAGAGAGTTGGGCCTTTTAGGAGAGAGATTTACACAATGCATAAGAAAGCTCACTGTGAGCCAGGGCAAGGAGGGGAGCCTTGGAGAATCATGAATGCAACATCTATGTCTATATTCCCAGACCAACAGCAAAGCCTGAAACTCATTAGGTATTTAAGAAATAGCTGCTGAGTTATTGCCTAGGGGTGCTCAGCTAAAGAAGCAGGGTTGGGACTAACAGTCAAGCTTCCTGACTCCTAGCGCAATACTTCTCCAAACACACCACTTATTTTTCTATATCTGATAGAAAGTAAAGTGCTTAAGTTGTACATAATGTTAACTCACTTTCCATACAGGCCAACCATGATTGACTATCAGTAACTGTTGTGACAATCTTAGGAAACTAATTACTAGAAAGTTGAACCTTTCAGAGTTCTCATTCTCATGTCATATACTATTTCTATTGTGAAATAAAAATCCTTCCAAATGAAACTTTACCCATCAAAATGACAGAGAAGTGAAAAATAGATACAAGAAAGCAAAATGTTTATTTCAATATCGATTTGACTATTTTGCTGTAAAATTATCATAACCACCAAGCCATTCTATTTTTAGGAAGATACATTCTTTTTGAAGTGTTAGGAACTATGATAACTATTTATTTATTTATTTATTTATTTATTTATTTTGGAGACAGAGTCTTGCTCTGTTGCCCAGGCTGGAGTGCAGTGGCGCGATCTTGGCTCACTGCAAACTCCGCCTCCCGGGTTCACGCCATTCTCCTGCCTCGGCCTCCTGAGTAGCTGGGATAACTATTTATTCTTAACTTTAAGTCCTAAATGATCAGTATGTATATTAGTAGATAACTGGACACAGAGCAAGGTCAGAAGGGTGACTGAGTGTGGCAGAAAGGGCAGTATCTCCAGTATTATCTGGACAATGAGTCCAGATAATGGATTCTGATACAACCATTCAAATAATGCTTATGAGTACTTGACAGCAGGGAAAAGCTTAAGATACAGTATTTTAGAGAGGAAAAAGGCAAGTTGGAAAAAAATATATGGAAAGCATGACTTCAGTCATGCATAGAGATGCTTCTACTTTAAACTTTTTTTTTTTTTTCTTTTTGAGACAGGGTCTTGCTCTGTCGCCCAGGCTGGAGTGCAGTGGCACGGTGATCTCAGCTCACTGCAGCCTCAACTTCCTGGGCTCAAGCAAGCCTCTCACCTCAACCCCCTAAGTAGCTGGGACTACAGGCATGTGCCACCACACCCAGCTAATTTTTTGTATTCTTAGTAGAGATGGGGTTTTGCCATGTTGCCCAGTCTGGTCTCAAATTCCTGAGTTTAAGTAATCCGCCTGCCTCGGCCTCCTAAAGTGCTGGGATTACAGCACATAAGCCATTGCCTCTACTTTATACTTTCTTGTTGAAGTAGACTGTATTACTGATTCCCCACCCATGCCCTCTTTTTGGATATCTGGCTCCTTCTCAAGTCTCTGGAAAGGGCAGCACTACAAATCCAGGGACAACTAGGGAACTCCCACCCTCGCTGCTAGGCAGACCAGTCTGTGGCTTACAGTTTAAATAGTTGGAAGAAGGACCTGAAATTTGAGGCTGGGGAGGGAGGCATGGGGTTCTAGGCAAGGGAGGCATTAGGCCTGGAGCAAGGGACCAGGGGTCTGGGCAGGCCACAGAGCACCACAGTGCCCTCACTACCCTATTAATGGGCCAGGAATCTGGAAGCTAGCCACCACATGCCCTCATGCCCAAGGTCTTCCTGCAGGTGGAGCTGAAGAGCCAACAGGCTCAGAGCAGCGAGACCAGTACCCGGGTCACCTGCAGCAGTACCTGCTTATCAGCAGCAGGTGGCCACTTATCAGCAGCTGACCTCTGAAATGAGGTGCTGCACAGGCAGTTACTGCTGCAGACGCAGCTCCTGGACCAGCTGCAGCAGCAGGAAGCTCAAGGCAAAGTGGTAGCTAAGATGGCCCACCAAAAGTTGCAGGAGACCCTGGGGAGGGAGTTGCTGAGGACAGGGCCCCGAGAGGGACAACGTGGCAACATCCGTGCCTTCTCACCCTCTTTCCTGGCCTCTTAGGAGCACCTGGAAGCTACCAGCCAGCAGAAACAGCAGATAAAGCCCAGTTGAGCCTCATGGTTCTCCCTGGGGAAGGTATGGGAGACCACGCAGAGGAAAAGGCGAGAGCCCCGGGAGGAAAGGGGGACTGTTAGCAGCATAGGATTGAGGAGTTGGAAGAGACCTTTAAGACAGCTGGTCATTATGCCAACCGGGTGTCCGTGCTAAGTTCGGTATCAATATGGTGACCTCCTGGGAGCAGGAGGCCATCAGGTTGCCTAAGGATGGGAGAACTGGCCCAGGTCAGAAAGGAACCAGGTCAGGACTCCCGCACCAATCGGTACTGGGACTGTGCCTGGGCAATATAGCAAGATCTTGGTTCTTAAAAGTAAAAATAAAGAACAGCTCATTCCTCTCTGGGAATGGGCTGATTCAGGGTTACACAGTGAGGGTGGGGGCAAAGGTGGGCCCCCAGTACTTCCCTTGTTGGGTTTTCTGAGGACCCCTCTGGCCACCCCTTAGAGGAGATGGAGGAGGACATCTGGACAGTGAGGAGGAGGAGGCACCTCGGCCCATGCAGAACATCCCAGAGGACCTGGAGAGCCTGGAGGCCAGGTGAGCCTGACTTTCCCTGCTCCTACTTTGCCACCTTCCTCAGTGGTCCCTCCCAGATCCCCTTATGTTCTTGGTTTCCCTGCCTTCTGATTTCTGTGGGCTTTCATTCCTTCCGGGAGCCAGTGGTCAAACACCATTTCACCTGTGACCAACAGGTGCACACTCTGAGCCCCAAGGGAAGGTGATGCGCTCCACCTCCCTGCCCTGGTTGTTCTGTGTATGTCCCTATAAGAATACTCACCTCTTGCCTTCAGGTGGCATTTTTCAACTTCGCTGGAGCCAGTGCCCAGTAGGAGCAAAGGGTGTGCTGGCAGCGCCTGGCTCACCCAGTGGCCTCGTCCCAGAAGGAGCCAGAGGCAGTGGCCCAGCCATAGGGACTGGGGGTGAGTCTATGTGTGGGGAGACCCACCGGCCCTGCACGGGACCATGGAGAAGCTGCAGGTGAGTAGATCCTGGTATTGGCCAAGACGGGTGGGGGCGGGGCAAGGCAGGTGGCTTCTGAGATGTGACCCCATTATTTTGGCTCCAGAGCGGCTTTATGGACCTCCTGAAGGAGAATGTGGACCTGAAGGAGTGGGTGGAGAAACTAGAGCTTGGATTCATACACCTCTAAGGAAAGACAGATACCATGAGTGAGTGGGAGACCAGGGCACGGCATGGGGAGCTGCTGGGCTGTCAGAGGGGCCCCAGCATCTGAGCCTGTCCTCCCACAGGAAAGTACATCACCCCAGATGGGAGCCAGGGGGCAGTGCCAAAGATGCGGCACTGGGAGAGGAGGACATCATCAGGCTGGCCCAGGACCAGGAGGAGATGAAGGTAGGGTGTGCAACATGTCTGCAGGGGTGAGGGTGGGGGTGAACTTGGGCGCCAGCACCAGCATGACAGCTAAGCACCCCTCCCTCCAGGTGAACCTGCTGGAGCTGCAGGGACAGGTGTTGCGGCTTGTGGGCGACCACAACAAGGGGCACGACAAATTCCTGACCACTGCCCAGGGTCCTGGTGATCAGCCCGCTCTAGGAGCCCCAATCCCCCAGGAGCTTGGGTGTGCTGACAAGCAGGGTGGTGAGTAGAGCCCTCAGGCGGGGTGGGCAGGCAGGAGCAGGGGAGGCTCGCACTGACCTCAGATCCCCTCCTCCCTCTGTCTGAAGATCTTCGTGAGGTGAGCCTCACTGACAGCGTGGAGCCTGCACCAGGAGAGGCCAGAGAGGGTTCTCCCCACGACAACCCCACTGCACAGCAGATCGTGCAGCTGCTTCCTCTAACGCAGGACTCCCCAGGAGCACCGAGGCTTGGGCAGCAACCCCTGCATGACCGAGGCTTCTGGGCAGCAACCCCCTGCATGCCATTCTTTTCACCGTGCCGAGATCAGGGAGATAAACATCACCATCATCTAAGAGCTGGTCAAGAAATTTAAGAAAAAAAAAGTTAAGGGATTAATCTCCTACACACCATTTACTTCATTTGAATGTTAGAGCCACTCATGTTTGTGTTTCTAACTTAAATTTATTTGTGGAAAGTTAAAGGAGAGTGGGTCTTTCCCTCATGTTCACTCTCTATTTTGACAGTTCAAATCACTTCACTTTTACTTGACACATATAAATGACTAGGAATGACCTTCTGATAGTGTTTAGCATCTGTAACCTATCTGACAATAATGTGTTCATCAGGGACCTCTGGATTAAATCACATACTGGCATATTTAAGCTGAATGTCAGTCTGAAAAATAAATGTGCTATATTAACTGAAATACCACTCTTTGGGTAGGAATTTTGTCAGTATGTTTAAGAAAGCTAAAAAGAATGGAATCCTAAGGATAATAACTTAAGTCTTTCAAAGTGCATGCAGTCGTTTGCAATACCTCATTCAGCCAAGTATTTGTTCTCTTCCTGATTCAGTATAAGGCAGCTTTCAATTTGCTTAGAAGGCAACATTAGAAGGTCAGAGTTCAGCAGAAATATAGAATTTTAAAATGCGAGTTCAATTGAATAAATTTGAATTTTTGTAGAGTGTAAAGAATCAAAATACCTGTTTATTTAAAGATTGCAGTATGTGATAATCATTTTTAAAGTATTTGATTAAACCTGATAGGTTTTCCAGAAAATGAAAAAAATCAATTTTAAAACCAAAGCTGCATGTCTCACTCATAGGTGGGAACTGAACAATGAGATCACTTGGACTCGGGGAAGGGGAACATCATACACCGGGGCCTATCATGGAGGGGGAGGGGAGGGGGAGGGGGGGGAGGGGGAGGGGGAGGGATTGCATTGGGAGTTATACCTGATGTAAATGACGAGTTGACGGGTGCTGACGAAGTTGATGGGTGCAGCACTACTAACATGGCACAAGTATACATATGTACAAACCTGCACGTTATCCACATGTACCAGAACTTAAAGTATAATTAAAAAAAAAAAACCAAAGCTGATTTTCAGAAAATTTCAAAAATGTAAACTAGCTCTATGCAGAATATAGTTTCTCTAAACTTTATCTTTTTTTTTTTTTTTTTTTTTTTTTTGAGACGGAGTCTTGCTCTGTAGCCCGGGCTGGACTGCAGTGGCTGGATCTCAGCTCACTGCAAGCTCCGTCTCCCGGGTTTATGCCATTCTCCTGCCTCAGCCTCCCGAGTAGCTGGGACTACAGGCGCCCGCCTTACCTCGCCCTGCCAGTGCTAGTTTTTTGTATTTTTAGTAGAGACGGGGTTTCACCGTGTTAGCCAGGATGGTCTCGATCTCCTGACCTCGTGATCCGCCCGTCTCGGCCTCCCAAAGTGCTGGGATTACAGGCTTGAGCCACCGCGCCCGGCAAAAACTTTATCTTAAGGAGTCATTTTACAATAGTATAACTATTTTAAAATGTACTGTTATTTTAATGTTTTGAAATAAATTAAAACAGTTTTTTTTTTTTTTTTGGACGGAGTTTTGCCCTTGTCCCCCAGACTGGAGCGCAGTGGCGAAATCTACACTCACTGCAAGCTCCGCCTCCCGGGTTCATGCCATTCTCCTGCCTCAGCTTCCCGTGTAGCTGGGACTACAGGCGCCCGCCATTGCGCCCGGCTAATTTTTGTATTTTTAGTAGAGACAGGGTTTCACCGTGTTAGCCAGGATGGTCTAGATCTCCTGACCTCGTGATCCACCCGTCTTGGCCTCCCAAAGTGCTGGGATTACAGGCGTGAGCCACTGCACCTGGCCAAATTAAAACATTTTAAAATATGAATACTGTAGCTTAAAAGAAAGAAACTGGAGAAGGAAAAGTAGAGAAAGAAATGCCAATTCCAGTCCAGAGCTTTATTTGCCAAGTTTTCTTAGAATAACTTTTACCAATTTACAAATTCTTATAAACAGAATCTATATGGAAATACTGAAAGACTTTTGCCTAAAGTGGCATTATTGAATACTGCTGTGATGCTACTGTAATGTAATAAATTTCATTGCAAAGTGCTGTTTTTGACTTAAAATTTTATTTTGTGTGTCTTGAAAACCATAGTATTAAAGGTATTGAGATTGTGCAAATGCTGGGCACAATTGGCATGAGATAATGTTTTCATTTTTACAAAATTGTAATATAACTATGCAACTGTTTATTAAAAGAACACAAACTGAAAAAGTTATGGGATTAAAAAAATAATGGGATTAAACAAGTTATGAGATGTTCAGCATGGTGGCTCATGCCTGTAATCCCAGCACTTTGGGAGGCCGAGGTGGGCAGATCACAAGGTCAGGAGATCAACACCATCCTGGCTAACACAGTGAAACCCCGTCTCTGCTAAAAATACAAAAAATTAGCCAGGCACGGTGGCACACCCCTGTAGTGCCAGCTACTTGGGAGGCTGAGGCAGGAGAATCACCTGAACCTGGAAGGCGGAAGTTGCAGCGAGCCGAGATCGTGCCATGGCACTCCAGTCTGGGCAACAGAGTGACACTCCGTCTCAAAAAAAAAAAAAGTTATGAGATTAAAAAGTTATGGGATTAAAAAAAAAGTTACGCTATGGGATTAAAAAATGTTGTGAAAAAAGGTGTGGAAAAAAATTGTGGGAAAAAAGTTGTGGAAAAAGTTATGGAAAAAAAGTTATTCCAAAAAAAGTTTTATGAAAAGCTATGAGATTTAAAAAAAAATCTTGTGATAAAAATTAAATAAATAAAAGCAGGCCACTGTCAGCAAAGACTGGAGAAGTGTCTAATGGGGGAGACAGGTGCAGATCAGATGAAGATCACTGTCATCCAAAAGCAGGGAACTAGGCCCAGTGTGGTGGCTCACTCCTGTAAGCCCAGTATTTTGGGAGGCCAAGGTGAGCAGATCACCTGAGGTCAAGAGTTTGAGACCACTCTGGCCAAATGGCAAAACCCTGTTTCTACTAAAAATACAAAAAATTAGCTGGTGTGGTGGCGCATGCCTATAGTCCCAGCTACTCAGGAGGCTGAGACGGGAGAATTACTTGAACCTGGGAGGTGGAGGTTTTAGTGAGCCGAGATCATACCATTGCACTCCAGCCTGGGTGACAGAGCAAGACTCCATCTCAAAAGAAAAAAAAAATATATATGGAAAAAACTTATGAAAAAAAAGTTATAGGATTTAAAAGGGTCATGGGATAAAAATTTTAAAAAAGCTGGGTGCAGTGGCTCACACCTGTAAGCCCAGCACTTTGGGAGGCTGAGGCAGGCGGATCACCTGAGGTCAGGATTTGAGACCAGCTTGGCCAACATGGAGAAACCTCATCTCTACCAAAAATACAAAAATTAGCCAGGAGTGGTGGCGCATGCCTGTAACCCCAGCTGCTCCAGAGGCTGAGGCAAGAGAATTGCATGAACCTGGGAGGCAGAGGTTGTAGTTAGCCAAGATTGCACCACTGCCCTTCAGCCTGGGCAACAGAGTGAGACTCCAAGGGGAAAAAAAGGAGTGTAAGGTAATGCTTCACTCATCTTCTTTAAACGGCAGTGGGAGTAAATCCCACCACTTTGACTTCCTCTCAAGCTTGGCGTTTGTTTGGTGGGGTCCCACGCGGGTTCAACATGCATATCGAGAAGTGTTATTTCTGTTCTGGGCCCATCTACCCTGGACACGGCATGATATTCGTCCGCAATGATTGCAAGGTGTTCAGATTTTGCAAATCTAAATGTCATAAAAACTTTAAAGAGAAGCGCAATCCTCGCAAAGTTAGGTGGACCAAGGCATTCCGGAAAGCAGCTGGTAAAGAGCTTACAGTGGATAATTCATTTGAATTTGAAAAACGTAGAAATGAACCTATCAAATACCAGCGAGAGCTATGGAATAAAACTACTAATGCAATGAAGAGAGTTGAAGAGATCAAACAGAAACGCCAAGCTAAATTTATAATGAACAGATTGAAGAAAAATAAAGAGCTACAGAAAGTTCAGGATATCAAAGAAGTCAAGCAAAACATCCATCTTATCCGAGCCCCTCTTGCAGGCAAAGGGAAGCAGTTGGAAGAGAAAATGGTATAGCAGTTACAAGAGGATGTGGACATGGAAGATGCTCCTTAAAAATCTCTGTAACCATTTCTTTTGTGTACATTTGAAAATACCCTTTGGATACTTGGAACTGCTAAATTATCTTATTTTTTACATAAGGTCACTTAAATGAAAAGTGATTAAAATACATCTTTCCTACATTGCCTTCTACATAACATCAGATATTACGGATGTTAGATTGCATCTCAGTGTTAAATCTTCACTGATAGATGTACTTAAGTAAATCATGAAAATTCTGCTTATAACTATAGAAGTGAATTGTGGATGTAAAATGGTTATGCCATTTGGATAATGGCACTAGGCAGCATTTGTATAGTAGCTAATGGCAAAAATTCATGGCTAGTGATATATAAAATAAAATATTCTTTGCAGTAAAATATTCCCTTTGTTAATGTTACAGAAAAGGGGGATACAAAAAGGAACTAACAATTTGTATGGCAGTATCAGATATTATTTTTGTTTTAGTATTTCCTGTTTTGGTTTATTTGCATCTTAGAAGAGCATAATGACATTGTTCGATGAAACCTAAATTATGCTGGACTGTTTTGACCTGGTTTAACCCTTCTGATAGGTAGTTGTGGATGTTGGGGATGAGAACTGAATAATCTTTGCCTGGAGTGACAATACACTCTAGAATTTCCACTTTGGAGAATATTCAGTTCTCACTTGTGATTCCTGGTAGAACAAACTTTATTTTTCTAGCCCAGCAATGATCTAGAAGCAGAGGAATCCCAGCACCTTTTAAAAGTTATTATGTGGTTTTCTTTAAAAAGCTGCTGATTTTGGAAGGTAGAATTTATGGGTACAACGTATGTTCATTATTTGTACGTAAAATAAAACCATTTAAAAAGTAAAAAAACAAAAACAAAAACAAACAAATAAAAAAAAAAATCCCACCACTTTAGGGCAACCTCCATCTCCTACTGCA